CTATTTTTGTTTTCTGGTTATAGCTTCTTCAGAATTATGCATTCCTTTAGGTGGTTTGAGTAAGCCATTCATTATGTCGGTATTTTTAGGGCATAAAGGTGATTCTGCGGAAGAATACCGGGTTTTTTGCGGGTAGTTAAGAAAAGAATAATGCTAAATTTTTTGCTGCTATTATACTTGTTTTTTTTTTCTTTTACGTGTTTTCGTTGACATGTTATGGTTTTATAATGAGCTTTATTATGAAGTAACGAGTTTAATTAGCTTACTTCTCAACGCAGTTTTGTCGCCTTGTCCATCTTCACGCGCTTATTCCTAAGTTGAACTTCCTAGCTTTCCAACACGTGAGTCTTTCATCATTTCTCCTAATGCTCTGTTAATTACTTCTCGATCTATGCCAGATTATCTCCTCATAGATACATCCGCAATTTGAATCGCTTTCCATCATTTTTTTCTCGACGTTACTTTAATTGTGTTAGAAACGTAACAAACTTAAAATTCTTTCATTTTGAACGGCAATAACAGTTTATACTCGAAATATTGAACAAACAAGCAGTACGGATGCATAACGTCAAGTAATCAATACATTTATTTAATTCACATATTACGATAGTGTAACTCGTAGTCGTAAATATACTAGAACGAATGGAGTGCGTGGAAGCAGAACAACATCAAAACAATTTTTGTAAAAGTGGAGGACACACCACCATCTTCTTTTCTCTAATATAGCTTCTATAAAGCTTTCAAAAGCCTTTTGAGCTCGAATACTTTACTTTCGTCGTTGGACAGATTGAAAGGTAAAGTACGGCTAGTAGAAATAACGTATTAGCTTTATCTATTTATCGTATGGTAGCTGGAGGGGAACAACTTATGACCGTAACGAATATAGTACCAATAAAAAATATGTTACTAATTTTTGTCTAAAACTACTTTTCCAGTGGCTGGTATAACAAGATATCACACTTCTCAACTTCCTTATCAACACTTGTGTCAGGGTACGGATAAACCAAAACTCCAAGAAATGTCGTTTTCCCGCAAGCAATAAATATAAAAATTTTAAGATTAGGTCAAATGAAATTTTTCAACAGATACTGACAAATGCAACATTATGGTGTACGTTTTTTCATCACTCACGAGGTTGACTGGAAGTTCTGGAAGTTCCGTCCTAAGAAGCAGTGCCATGCACAGAATTCCGCGACACGGACAACAGTTTATTTGGTTGTGCTCTCAGCTTCATTCACAAGTAAAGACTTTTCGAAGTGGGAGAATTCTGTTTACATGAATAGCGAGGAAATCGTTCTCAGCGATTCTGAGTCAGAAAATATGACTTTTGTTATCACCATTTTAAAAGTAAGATTCACTCGTTTTGACCACGCATGTTTAGTTTAATTTTGGAAATTTTGCAGGTCATTTTTCAAAACATCCAGATTCTACTGATATTGTGTTCCCTTGTTTTGCTTAGTTGTGCCAGCCACCTTATGTTGCCGTTTTGTCCTTCATCTATAAAAAATGTGCGGATTGCTGTGTACTATTTGGCCATCATTGGATTTGTCAGGTATTTTGAACACATCCTCTGCTTTCAAACGACTACTCTTGAAAAATTTTCTTAGAACTTGTTTAGATTTTGGAGGGAAGCACTATTAATGAAAAAGTCTCACAATTCTTTCTTTGACTTAACAAGTCTTTCATAAATCTTGTCAATTCTTTCATCGACATAGTAGTCTGTTTTGGCTTTTAATCGCTTCCTCCTCAGTTCTAGAGTTTCTTTGAAATCTGTTTATGGCACCTGAAAAGCTGCGTGAATTTTTAATTTAAATTATTGTGCTTATTTTAATACATGAACCAGTGCGGTTTTGGCACTTGTCGGTATGCGATGTTGCAGTGCGGTTTATAGAAAAAGGAGTCGGATTTGTAAACATGCTTTTCCTCCAGTAATTCTTTTATTTCCATCTTATTTGGTTCAGGTAACCCATAGCTTTTTTTTGGTATTTTCTGAGTACTGAATAAAAACCTGGTTTTTAGATATATGGATGGTTTGGGAAAGATTCATAGTGTTGATTATTTGATTTAGAACTTTTCAGGGTTTTTTTTGTGATTAAATGCTTAGTACTTTTTTTGAAGGTTGGCATAGTATCACTTTTTGGCATTTGGACGGTACGGCAAGTTTTTTCGTTATACTGTGAATTCCGAAAAAGCCGTGAAAGAAATGTTCACACCAGTGGGGCTCTTATTAATATCGCACCGCCTTTAGCACTTGTTTGGATTACCGTGCTTTATTTTCTGACAGCTTCGTTCGATTACGCTTTTTATGCTTTAAGAAAGTCTCGTTTCTGGCGCCGTTATCCTGTGCCCTCCGTAGTACTTACCAGGTGCAGTGATGCTAACGGTTTGTTCGTTTTTGAAGCTACAGCTAGGGAGCAGAGGGTTGTTTATTGTGATTTAGTTTTAGAAGCGGGTCAGGCTAGCTGTTATTACTTATTGTAAGGAATTGCCAGCATGAAATATGGATTTTGAAGTGGACTGGTTGCAATTAGGCATCTAACCATTCTTGAAACAATGCTATTTCAGCTGTTTTGGGTCCCAACTATAAATGGCATCCTAGAATTCTTTCTAAAGAAGTAAAGGAACCCCCTTGTGTGCCCAGAGGCGAAGATCGAAGCGAACATTCTTTTATAAGGGATTTGCATTCTGCTGCGTTATTTCATAACAGGTGCGCAAAATTAATTTTGTTATTCCGCAAGTGGGATTTGCATGTTCTCTGGTAGTTTATCGGTTCGGTGACTTTGTCTCACGCGTTACTGTTGGTTTTCTCTATCCAGAACCAATTTCAAGTTCATTTTTGCTCTTGAGTTTATGCTCTTTTATACGACTTTATTGTAGCAGAGAGCTCGAGCATTTGGCTACCACTTCTTTGCCGTCGTCTGTCTCGGATGGGAAAATGGAGGTTATAAGAGATTGTATCAATATGTTAAGTTCACACGTAACTCATGTAAGGCGGGGACTTGATACCGTTTATGAAGATCCAGAAACATGCGGAACTATTAAGGCTATGAAATGATGGATGGTTATTTACGAAGTGTTAGTTGTTGATAGGATGGACGCATCATTAAATACTGTGATGGTCCATGTAGTTCTGTAATACTTATGTCTGTAAATTCATTGATTGAACCTGCGGAATAAACGACAATATTTGGAATAAACTGTTCAAGAGTTAATGGTATGAAATTGTTAAACGCGAGGACGAATTAAAAGAGCAAATGAGCAGGAATTTTTGCACATATGATTGCAAATATATTTTTTCTGAAGTGATTTCTCCTGAATTATTTTTGCTTTTGTGCAGAACATAGAAAATCGCCGTTTACTTTTGATGCGAATTCTCGTTTTTGTTGATGCGGCTACAGATGGTCAAGGTGTGAAGTGTTAAGAATAGTCGAATCTGATTAACCTGGCACAGTAACAAGCAAAAAGTGGTGGTTTACATCTCTTTCTCCATTGGTACTAAATCAGTAAACTGGCTGAATAGTTGAGCGAAATTCATGGTACTTTATTTTTTTCTACAGTTTTGCTAGCAAATTAGTCTTAGGCAAGTTAAAGTTGCAGTTTTTGTGCGATTAACAGTAAACTTCTTTGAATGGCTCATTTCTCGGAAAAATAGATAGCCTGCAGAGTAAGATTATGAATACTTGTCATGTTTGCCAATTATTTATATTAAAGCGCTCCATGAAGTGATTACTTTGAGTATGGAAATATTTTAGTGTGAAGAAGACGTTTGAATTTGAAACCTAGTCTTTCTAACACCTGCATATGTTTGGATGCAGAAATTCGTCTTCAGAGGTTGGGATGTTAGAAATACGTAGAAGGGTTGCCTTCATTTCCTCTCCTTCCTCTTCCAGCTCCCACCTCTATGGGTTTAAAGTCCTTTTTTTCTATAAATCAAGCATTTTTTCTTTCTCAGGCGAAATGCATTGAAACGTGAGTTTTATTTTTCTGAAAA